ATCCCACGCTAAATCCATCAGGCACCAAAAGTGATCCGGGCAGATTCCCCAGCTCTCCCTGCCTTTCATTCCAGAACACCAGCCTCTCCTGTGTCCGTGACGGCAATGACTTTGTACCAAACGTCACGCAGAACTGACGCCTTGCCTGCGGGGAAGGGACACCACCTCGCCTGTGTAACACGCCGTCCTTGTCAAAACACGTGACTGAAAGCATCGGCCTGGAACATGCTATGGGGCAACTGGCCGGCTGCCTCGGAATGTCAGCGGCACAGGAGAGAGAGAGTGCATCCCTGAGACTACCCGGGATGAAGGGGCTGGAGGGACATGACAATTACATGCAGGGTAATCCTGGGCCGGGTCCTGGTCGTCTGCAAAGAAGCAAGACCATCCCCAGTCTGTGTGGCTCAGTGGGTAGAGTGTCGGCCTGCGGACCGAAGGGGCCCGGGTTTGATTCCAGCCAAGGGCACAGGCCCGGGCTGCGGACTCGATCCCCAGTGGGGGGCGTGCAGGAGGCAGCCGATCCATGACTCTCATCATTGATGTTTCTATCTCTCTCTCCCTTTCTCTCTGAAATCAATACAAATATATTAAAAACAAAGGAACAAGACCAGCAATGAAGGCGAACAGGCAGACCCCAGGGAAACAGGATGGGGGCTGTGGGTGAGATAATGTCAGCACGCTGGGTTTAGGGGATGCGTTCGCGGTATTGGGGCCGCGTGGGAAATGCCCTAGTTCTTAGGAGAAACATCCGGAAGTATGTAGACTGAAGTGCAGGGATGTACACAAGTACTTTCAAATGCATGTGTGTGTGATAGGTGTGTGCACGTGTGTGTTCACATGTGTGTGGGTGGTGTGCATGGGTGTGTGCGGGCATTTGCATGTGTGTGTGCCCACGCACCCGCGCGCCTGGGGGAGGGGAGAGGGCGAGAGAGAAAAGGAGGCTCAGAGTGGGGGGACCAGACACAGACAACAGTGCGGTGAGGCCTGGGAGGAGGGGGTGATGGGGGAAATGAGGGAACATCTGGAATTCCATCAGCAATAAATAAATAAATATATATTTAAATAAATATTTTTAAAAGGGTGGGAGAGACTCAAATGTGGCAAACAGGAGTTCATGTGTTCATTGCGTGACTGAACTATTTATTCTAGAGCTCTGAACTCTTTCAAGATAAGAAGTACACGGATGTGCATCTACATGTGTGTCTACATGCCACACGTTAGGACAAGCTGCACACTCACGTGCATCTGGTGTGAGAACGGGCGCCACCATCTCGGGTAGGAAGTGCTTTTCCCTGAAAACACCTGAGAGCCCACCCCCCACGGCGAGCGGACCCCCAGCGCAGCCGCCGGTGCGCGTCCCTGACCATAGGTAGGCGGGAAGTTGTTGTGGTGACTCCCTCTGGGGCGAGGCCCTTCCTGTACGTCTCCAAGGGGGTGGGAGCTGTGCGCCTGCGGGGTCTCCCTCGCCTTCAGCTCAGAGCCCTTCGCGTGCCCAGCGCTCCTTTGGGAGGCTGTCCTGCCCCTGAGAGCACAGGCCCTGGGAGGCGAGGACCAACTCCAGTGTGGGCTGGGGCAGGTAACAGACCGCAGTTCCGAAGCAAGGGCGATGGTGGCGTCTCACAGCCGGTTGTAGAACAGGTAGATGGCTGGCAGCGAGCACATCCAAGGCGGAGGGTGTGAGGATGGGAGGACCAGCCGGAGGAGACAGCCTGGGAGGAGGCCGGGCACAGCTAAAGCCACTGGCACCTAGGGCCTGAGAGAAAGGAATGCTCCCGCCTCCGGCAGAGGAATGCTGGATGC